TATCCTGCAAAGATGTCTCTCCTTGTCTATAGAGAGTTTTGTTCTGACCCTGTGGTCACCCCTCTTGCCCTTATTGAGGAATTTGGTTACTCCAGACACCAAAAGTCCATCTCTACCTTCAGCTACTTTCTCCCTGGTTGGTTTAAGTTACCAAAGTACATTTCCTGTCCTTTAGAGCAACCCAACTTCTTCACTTTTCCTTTATTTAGCTAATGTTTAGAAAAGGCCTAATATAGGCTAAGCATTGTGCAGTGTTTGGAGGCACAATGGCATTGCCTCTCTCCTTAGGGAGTTGCAATCTATTAAAATAATCAACAGTGTCTGTCTGCTGTTTATTCAGGGCACAATAGTGCCCCTCCCCCCTGTAAATCCAACTCCTCAGGAGACTGAGGCAGGAGGATCACTTGAGCTCAGGAGCTCAAGGCCAGCCTAAGCAACATAGTGAAATCCCCGTCTCAAAAAAAAAGAGTCTGGGTGAGGTGGCTCATGCCTGCAATCCTAGCTACTCAGGAGGCTGACTCCATCTCAACCAATAAAAAACTGGGCATGGTAGCCAATGTCTGTCATCCCAGCTAGGCAGGAAACAAACAGGAGAATTGTGGTCCATGTTGCCCAGGCATAAATGTGAGACCTTATCTCAAAAATAACCAAAGCAAAAAGGGCTGGAGGTGTGACTTAAGTGGTTCATACCTGTTTAGCAAGAACAAGGCCTTGCTAAAACAGAGGGGCACCGCTTGGCAGTCTACCTACTAGGAGCCTACATTCTTTATCCCACTTAGTCCTCCCAAAAGCTCATGAATTTAAAGTTATTTTCCCCATTTATGAATAAGGAAGTTGAGTCTCGCTGATGCTTAAGCTATTAGCCCAAAGTCATGGAGATAGTAAGTGGTGGCGCTGGAATTTGAACATGTATCTACATCCAAACCCTTGCCTTCTCATTTACACTGGAGAGTCTATAGACAGCACAGTGCTAGAAGCAGATAGATGTAAATTTAGAATCCTAGCTCTTTCACTTATTGCTATATAATCCTGAACAAATTGATGAGTTTTCTGAACTTGAGTTTGCTCGTCTGTAAAAGTAAGGTATGATGGCACTTACCTCTTAAAGTTGTGGTGAGAATCTCAGAAATGGTAGCTGGTACTTTACAGCTGATATCTAGGCCTGATCTCACCTGTAGCCATGTGGGGGTTTTTTTTTTGTTGTTGTTGTTTTATTTTGTTTGTCGGCATCCTGGAAACTCTTCTGTCTTACATTGGTTCCCTCCACAGCCCCTAGCACAGACTGAAAGACAACATTAGTTCTTAGTAAAGGTGATTGTCATATGTTAAGTGATTGAATGAGAAACCTTGCAGGTTGCAGGCTTTAGACTATCTATCTGTTAGACATTTCTCCCTGAACAAACCCCCTTTCTCAACTCAAATACACTCATACATTCGAGAAGGAAGCCTTCTGAAATCCTCTTGTCACCACCATGTTAACAATATCAAGTATACAATGAGTGCACAGTAAGAGCTATCCATTAAATGAGAAAGCTTATTCTCTGTTTTATTCTTACATCAATTATTAGGACAGTCTGAAGCCCTCTATGCATCTCATAGGACTTAGAATGAGCTCTTGAACCTTGTATAGCTGAAAGAAAACAAGTCTTCCCCCCAGTTCCAATATCTTCATGGCATTCTTCCTTCTGGAAAGAGCAGACTCTCCATAATGAGAATTTCTAATGACCCCTCAGTGCCAAGGGCAGAGAAGACATCTCTTCTGGAAACTTTGGGACACCATTGCTAGTGCCAGGGTAGCCAGGACTTTCCATTGAAATACCAGACTAGTTAAACGCCCTCTTTGACACCAATAGATTTCAGGATGGGCCAGCAACACAGCCTGGATTATATTATTGTGACCATCTTTCTAATAATCTATCCAATTCAAGAATCTTGTTTGGGTGAATTTTCAGTCTTCCCCCCATCCCTGGGTTGTCTGGGATCAGAGGCTGTGTCATAAACATGAGGGTTGTCCAGTCCTGCGGTGATGAAGAGGAAGGGATTGGCAACCACAGGAGCATCACTGTGTTGCTGATGGGATTTTGAGTCAGAAGTTATTTCATTCATCCCAGACAGGGAGGGTCCAACATCAGAGGCAATCAGTCGTTCCTGTGGCTGTGGTTTAACCTGTACTTTTCTGAGTAGAGAGGAAATAGCAGTGGTCTAAACGCCTGGAAATTCTAATTGGCCTGAAAGTCTACGGGTTTTCCTGGACTTGGTGGTGGTAACTCTGACACTGATAACTAAAGTTAGACAGACTTTGTGGGGAGCCCGAAATACAATTCGTCTCCTGAGCACTTTCCTGATTGCCTACAGAGCTAGGACTACAAAAATGAATGACATGACCTCTCTCCTTAGTTTGCAGTTCAGTAACTGAGCAGTGCTGGCTTGACACCTCCCAGAAAGCACCTGTGACTCAAACAGGCCTCCTTCACACATGGACTCCCTCAACAATTTAGGTGACATCTGTATTCCCATATTAACACCAAGCTTTGAGGACCTAGATCCTGCAACCAGAAAAACAGCAGCACTAGCCAAAATGGTGGTTGGAAGTTCCTCTAGAGGTCAGAAAAGGATACTTTTGACAGTGGGTGGTCCCAGACCTCTGCTCTCAGTGATCCCTCCTGCCTGCCTTCCTCCCAGGCTACCTCAACACAAGATGGATGAGTAAAGACCTGGTACGAACCTCACTCCTTTAGACATGATCACCAAACCACATGGAGATGCTTGTCTTTTTTGATGGACATTGATTGGAAAGGATCCCAGTCAATATCTGATCCCCAGTCTCACTGACTTTCATTGTTAGTAAATGCAATATTAGTCAGCAGACTGGAATTTAAAAAATAAATATCTGTACTCAGTGAGTAGGTTTACCCAAGCTATCTATATCCATCTAAGACCAGTTGGCAGGACCAGTGTCTTCTGTAGAAATGATAGCTCAATGGATTTAAAAAATTATCAGAAGGTTATCTGTATATCATTCATAACCTTCAAGGTCATTCTGCCTCACTTATGAGGTCAGAGGTTACTGCATATATATCTGCTTGATTATGAGCAGACATTGTATCGAAGCTTTCTTTGTGTCCTTGACACTTAGAAGTGCCTGACACAGAGTAGATACTTTTCCTTACTAAACTGAAATGAAATTGTGTAGGGTCAGGAAGGGACCCCCCGTCATATTGCAGTCCCCACACCCATCTCTACACACACCTGCCTCCAGATTCAAGCAGATCAAGTCACTATAATTAGTTGAGCGCCATCTTGGTTGTGCCCAGCCCTGACATCAGAATGATCACCATCTCTCCATGCTGTCAATGTTCTGGTCTACAGTTATAGGAAAGTGTGTGAGACTTGAAGAGACCGAGGTTCGAGTCCTTGCTTTATCCCTTACCAGCTAGTGGCTTAACATCACTGAGTCCCTAATTCCAATGCAAAATAACCCAGGTGATCATTAAATGAGAAAACATAAGCAAACCAGCCCGTTTAGAGTAGGTGGTCAGCAAAGTCTCATTTATATGTCAATCTTTTGAAAGCTCTTCTTAAATCCTGAAGAGAGTGGGTCCCTGGCAAGGACTCTTCTGGCAGTCTACACATTAAGTAAACAGCTCAAACTGATTGCAGCGACCAAATGTACCACCTGCCTTGACACTTCTCGATTCTTCAGATTCAGATCATCGGAAGATTTCTCAATTGTTTTTTAATATAGGAGATGTTTCTTGGATGTTGACAGGAGAGTGTTTAGACATGCGGGTCCTCTAAAGTACTGAGAATTTATGGGATCCCAAGTCTAATGGTTCTCAAGTGTTTTCTCCTAGTCCCTTAATTCCAAGTTCAGATTCATGATTCCACTGCTTATGGGCATCTCCACTGGAATGCCAACAAGCATTTCCAACTTAGCACATCCAAAGCCTAACTTTGGTTTTCTACCCACTGTTCCTCTCCATCTTTCCCATGTCAGGCAGTGGTACTTCCACCCACCTCCTTGCTCAAAGTTAAATTCTAGGAGTCATCCTTGACTTTCTCTGACTCACCATATCTGGTCCATCTGCAAGACATCTCAGGTCTCCCTCTAAAACACATTGCCCCTTCTCCTCTGCACTAGTTCCATCTACGGGAGTCCCTTGTGGAACTCCTACTTCTACCTTCACCTTTCTCCATGCAAGTCCCTCCTGTGTGCTTTTAAAATGCAAATCTGATCCCAGTGCTTACCCTGAGTAAAATAAGCTGTTTTTAAACATCAGGATGAAATCCTTTCCAGGGTCTAAAAGTTCTTTCACTGTGTGGGCTACTACCCATTTCCCTAACTTCATCTTCCTGACCTGGGCCGGTTCACCCCTCCTTAGGCAACCTGGTGGTCCCCCGCTCCCGGGAGGTCACCATATTGATGCCGAACTTAGTGCGGACACCCGATCGGCATAGCACACTGCAGCCCAGAACTCCTGGACTCAAGCGATCCTCCTGCCTCAGCCTCCCGAGTAGCTAGGACTACAGGCGCACGCCACTGTTCCCGGCTACTTCATCTTCCCTAGGCTCAGGAACTCTGCATCTATGAAATGGGTATGACAGTAATAATCTCTACCACATAGTAAGCACCAGCTATGAGCTGGGTCAGGCAGGTCTTGCAACAAGCCAACAAAGCAAATGTTATTAACCATAAGTTGTAAGGATTTACACAAAGTGTTTGATGCTAATATGTTAGATTCCCTGTGTTTCCGTTTGTTCCAGTGGTTGGGGCAGGGGAGGGAACTGTAGCCCAGAAAAGCCTCACTGATCAAGGGTAGATGGGAAACAGCACCAGCTGTCTATCATGCATGCTCTCCACACACTAGTTTAACACCTGCCTCTAGGGCGTGCTTGAGTCAAGAAGGGCAAGTAGTAGCTCTCTGGGGGACCCAGGCTGCTGAAAGAGTTAAGAGGCCTCTTCCCTGGCCCTCCGGCTCCAGCATCTGTCTTGTGGGCTTAATGAGAAATCCAGGCGCTCACAAGAGACTGTACAAATAACTTTTGGGGCACCGCTAACTCATTCAGCAGAAAGAGTCCCAGGGCTGCCAATGCTTCAGGGAAGGTAAGTGAGTGGAAAGAAGGTGTTCTTTAGAGAGGCAGCCGGCAGAAGGATTCTGCGCGGTTGAGTGTGAGCTCCACCCTTGCAGCAGAGCCGAAAAAGCCTGATCCAGGCTCCTCAGCCCCTCTCTTCTTTGATTAGGAATTTGGGGGCGGGCCCTGGCCTGGCACACACCCGCACTTTCTCAGTAGGCACTGGCTCCTTGCTCTCCCTTCCTCTCTCTCACACGTTCTCCAACCCCAGGAGGCCAGACAGAGGGACGCGGTCACTCTCTGCAAGGTTCAACTCGAGGTAAGTTTAGTCATTTTACTTTAGTTTTGTCCTTTGTAATTTCACAAAAGAAAGAAAGGAAAGGGATGGGGAGGGAAGGAGAGAGTGATAGGCAGGAGAAGTTAGTCTTTCCCACCTGGACTACAACCCCAGGGATGCTGGAAAGGGGGCAAAGGGGGAGAAGAGGGACAACTGCCTCCTTTTACCTCTCCCCTACAGAAACTTTATGGGTTCTGGGGACCTCCAATTCACAGTCATGAAAAAGTGAAGATCCAGATGTCTACGGAGGCTTTTCCCAGCTACTCATGAATCCCAGACTTGCTGGGGCTTGGGGCATTTTGGAGGGTAGCCCCTGAGTGTCCCTGAAATGTCTTTTAGAGAGGGGCTGTGGTACCCAAATGCTGCTGGTGGGCAAGTTTTATGGGGTGTGTGTGTGTGTGTGTGTGTGTGTGTATGCACGTGTGTGCATGTGGAGGTGAAAGGGAGAGGAAAAAGAGAAGTGTTAAGGATTGACCATGGCCAGGCAACTGTGGATTGAGATGGGGTCCCCCAGGTTAGGGGATGGCTTCTGTTTTGAGCTCCTTGGCTCTGATTGGAGGAAAGATATTTCCCTAGAGTGGTGACTTGGAAGAGCACAAGAGCTCCTGTGTCAGATCCCCCTACTCCAAGAGTGTCCATCCTGGAAACTTCACACTGTACAAACTCTGAGCACGAGAGGGTCCCGAACATGAAGGAAAACAATTTAAGAGTGTGCAATCCTGAAGCAGCATTGCTAGGAGATGGGGTGGGTGAGGAAAGGATTTACTCCCCACAAAACTCAGCAGCTGTGCATCTAAGGAGAGGACACAGTGGTGAGGTGCGCAACCCTTGGAAAGCTGGGTCCTAAAAAGGAAGATGACTTCTGCCAAGGTGCCCAGTCTGGAAGAAGAAGAAATGGAGACAGAGGCTTACTGTGCCAGCCCTCCAGACAGCCACCTTGGTCCTGCAGCAGCCCAGAGCTGTGCATGGAAAAATGTGCTCTTGGCAGTGGGCCGCTCCACCCGTCTTCTTCCCTGGCCAGAGCCAGGGACCAGCCAGCATGCCCAGGCAGTGGGCAGTTGGGTCTGCTGCTCAGAAACACTGTGGTTCTTTGTCTGAGGCCTATGGCTGCCCAAGGATGAGCCAAGGTGCCTGCTCCTCTGCAGCCCAGGAGCTGATGGGATGACACAGACCTAAGGGAACTGCTTTCAGGCAACAGAGAGGTCTGGCAATGATGGTGGCCAGCAGATGACTAGATGGAGTGTCACAATCAGGATCCTTTTCATCAGTTCTTTGGATTTGATATTTGCTCTTATATTCCTTTCTTCCTCCTGTCATAGATACCAGCCCCAGAAAGTTCCAACAGCAGTGTGAGGGCTACATGTGACTCTTCCACATCAAGAAAGGTTCTAAGCTTTCTTTGTACAAGGGTGACACTCTGGAAGGCACCCACTACTCACAGTGGCTATGCAGTGTGCTATAGGTAATTAAGCTATCGGTAATTGACCTATGTGCCACCCCTGGTCCCTCATCTGTCGTACCTTCAGCTTCCCTCACAGATGATCCCAGACCCCCACTTCTCCTCCAGCCTGCCCTGCTCTCATCTCACTAGCACAGCAATCGTAAAGGTATTAGACTGCCCAACACCGTGAGGTGCCCTGATGTGGAAACTCATAAGCCGGTGCTGCCACTTGGAGCAAGTAGCTTGGCATAGGAGGCAGGGTGCTAGAACCCCATCCTGGACCACCTCCCCTTCTACTCCAACTTTCTGTGTTCCCTGTTCATTTCTCCTGCCTCTCACATGGCTGTCCCACAAACCCATGGCAGGTGTGAGGGCTGTAAGCACTTCCTCATCCGGTACCACAACAGACAGAGAAGTAAACTGACTAGTCAAACTCCCACTCAAGAGGACGATTGCCACACCCCATGCCATGTCCTCAGGCTGGAGTAGATTGGTAAATGTTGTATGAAGACCAGTTACATGTATAGCACAAGCTGCTAACTAGGAAGTTTTCTCACCCAACAGTCTGTTATGGATCATGGCACTTTGAAGAGTAGCCCAGGCCTGGTGGTAGCCACAAAAGGACCACACCCATTCCTACACACTCAGGACCAGAACCCCCAGCCTGCCCACAGGACCAAAAGGTCTTCTAGAAGTATTTCAGAACTTCCCCTTTAATGGCTCAAGCTACTCCTGGGGGCTTCCCAGAGGCATGGAAAGAGCCATAGGGCTTTTACCCTTAGACTCTTAGAAGATATTATTTCCCTGGGGTCCAAACTGGATGAGAATTTAGGCCTGAAGAGTACCCCACCACTACTACCTGAATACAGACACAAACACACACACACACACACAGTGTTGTGGGTGTCACACCTTGCCCAACAGAATCTTCAGGATACTGGAGGCTCCTCACAACCCTTCCCTCCAAAAGCTGCAGCCCTCTCAAGGTCCTGTCAATCTTAGAGTCTCTCTTTCTGTGGCTATGTGACCAAGAGCAAAGGCACTTAGTCCACTCCAGATAGCCAGGGTCCAGTGCTCTGGGACCCTGGAAAGTAGGACTCCCTATCTGGATGCCTGACACTATGGTCACACTGTGGTCACATCTGCACAGCTGTGAGCCTGCTCCGCCTTCCTGCCCTCCTGCAGCTCACTCATGCTTGTTGTTCTATTCTCTCCCACCCTGCAGAGAGAAAATGCAGTGGGCCTCCCTCCTGCTGCTGGCAGGGCTCTGCTCCCTCTCCCAGGCTCAGTATGAAGAGGAAGATTCTCACTGGTGGTTCCAATACCTCCGCAGTCAGCAGTCCACCTACTACGACCCCTATGACCCTTACCCATATGAGCCCTCCGAGCCTTACCCCTACGAGGTGGAGGAGGGCCCAGCCTACTTCTACGGTTCACCATCCCCACCAGAACCCCGTGACTGCCCCCAGGAGTGTGACTGTCCCCCCAACTTCCCCACAGCCATGTACTGTGACAACCGCAACCTCAAGTACCTGCCCTTCGTGCCCTCACGCATGAAGTATGTCTACTTCCAGAACAACCAGATCTCCTCCATCCAGGAAGGCGCCTTCGACAATGCCACTGGGCTGCTCTGGATTGCGCTCCACGGCAACCAGATCACCAGTGATAAGGTGGGCAGGAGGGTCTTCTCCAAGCTGAGGCACCTGGAGAGGCTGTACCTGGATCACAACAACCTGACCCGGATGCCCGGCCCTCTGCCTCGGTCCCTGCGAGAGCTCCATCTCGACCACAATCAGATCTCACGGGTCCCCAACAATGCTTTGGAGGGGTTGGAGAACCTCACAGCCTTGTACCTCCAACACAATGAGATCCAGGAAGTAGGCAGCTCCATGAGGGGCCTCCGGTCCCTGATCTTGCTGGACCTGAGCTACAACCACCTCCGGAGGGTGCCCGATGGGCTGCCCTCAGCCCTCGAGCAGCTATACTTGGAGCATAACAACGTCTACACTGTCCCCGATAGCTACTTCCGGGGGTCACCCAAGCTGCTCTATGTGCGGTTGTCACACAACAGTCTCACCAACAGTGGCCTGGCCACCAACACCTTCAATTCCAGCAGCCTCCTCGAGCTTGACCTGTCCTACAACCAGCTACAGAAGATTCCCCCTGTCAACACCAACCTGGAGAACCTCTACCTCCAAGGCAACAGGATCAATGGTGAGACCTCAGCAAGGGAGTGGGGTGGCTGTCTGTTTTAATGAGTGCCAGTGGCAACCCAAAAGAAATAGGCATGGGAGAACCAAATGGCACAAATGAGGCAAACCTGAGCCCAAGGCGTGGTGGTGCATGTCTGTAATCCCAGCTCGTCAAGAGGCAGTGGTAGGAAGATCCAGAGTTCAAGGCAGCCCAGGCAGATTTAGTGAGACCCTGTCTCAAAAAAACAAAATACACCCAAAAGGGCTTGAGGTATGGCACAGATGGTAGAGCACTTGCCTAGCATGCATGAGTTCAATCCCCAGTACAGCGGAAAAAAAAAAAAAGAGAGAGAGATAGAGACAGAGACAGAGACCAGCTGCAACCCAGCACCAAGCCATACTCCTCCACAGCAGTGCTAAAACTTGGTTGGGAGTAGGTGAAGTCAGAAGATGACTTTCCAAAAGACATAAATTTCAGTCTGGGGCTCAAAAGGGAGCTGGGCAAGGGCTAGGAGAAGGCAGGACAAGAAGTTGCCATGAAGGAACTGGTCCCTTAAGTCTCCTGTAGGGGACAAGGGGGAGCATGGTTGAGAGAAAGGGGCCATGTGTAGAGCAGCAGTGAGAGATGAGTAGGGAGAGGTTTGGGAGGGTTCAATTCTCGGAGAGGGAGACTTAAATTGGCTCCTGGGTTCATCTTCGGAGGAGGGTGGGCTGCTAAGAACCCGCTGTGTCTGAGCGTCACCAGAAGAGGACGACCTCCGTTTCCCCTCCACTGACCCCCGCCTCCACAGCCTGGTCTTGTGTTCTGGTGTTTGTTTGTTTTTTTAAAACTTAACAGCTGGGGGACAAAAATGTGCTGCCTCTCAGAGCTGAATGCAGTACTTGTTCCCACCAGTTCTCCCTGGAGTCCAAGGAGCCCCTGGTGGCAGGGCAGAGTTCTTCCCAAGGGTAAATGAGTCTGACCATTACAAAGCTTTGGGGTGAAGCACCTCCCTGCACAGACCAAAAGGCAGCAGAAAGGCTGTCTGTCTTTGACTAAGAGCTAAAATACGCATTTCTGATTGAATTGTTGCTTTCCAGCTGCCTTCCTCCCAGGATCTTGTGTCCAGAATGTGCTTACATTGCCCCAGGCTTCTGATGTCTTAATCTCTGCTGGAGGTACTGAGCCAGCATTTAACCAACCTCCTCCACTCTCAGGGGAGGGAGGACTGTTAATGACCACAGCACAGGGCTCTGAAGTACAGCCTGCTGGGAAGGAAGGCGCCATCAAAGCAGAGGGAGAGACTGAGTCCTGTCCGTTTGCTCTCCTTCCTTTCTCTCCCTGAGCTCAAGGACAGATCAGTCATTTAGCTAGATGTTAATGAGTCAGACAGTCCTCAGAGCTAGAGAGATGCCATTCTCAGAGGGCAATATGGCAGGCAGGGAAGTGGCAGCAGGGCAGCAAGGTGGAGTGCTGTCTGTCTGGTCTTTGATCTGTAGTGAGAGACACCATCATGTACAATCCAAACTGTTTTTTATTTATTTTGTTGGGGTCTTCTTATTCCCAGGGTGAGGCTGGGGTCCTTTAAGAAGTCTTGTTGTATACTGGCTTTAAATTCTGTCTAGCAGTCACCTACCACCCACTCTGAATCCAGGAGGGTTGTCACATCAGAAATGTTACATTGTGCTGGGCACTGGTGGTCACGCCTGTAATCCTAGCTACTTGGGAGGCTGAGATCAAGAGGATCATGGTTCAAGGCCAGCCCGGGCAAATAATTGCTGAAACCACCCCCTGCCCGCCCCCGTCTCCAAAATAACCAGAGCAAAATGGACTGGAGGTGTGGCTCACGTGGTAGAGCACCTGCTTTACAAGTAGGAAGCCCTAAGTTCAAACCCCAGTCCCACAAAAAGAAAGAAAGAAAGAAAGAAAAGAAATGTCACATTGTAGCTGGAGATGTGACTCAAGTGGTAGAGGGCTTGCCTAGCAAGCTCAGTGCCCTCAGTTCAAACTCCAGTATGGCCAAAAAAAAAGTCATATTGTATGCTGTGCTTCATCCAAGTATGACCCTGAAAATGGGACAGCAAAGGGCAGCTGTTGTCCTGTGAAAGAGTTCATTAGTTACTTAGTGCCTAACTATACAATCAGAGAAAAGTGGGGTCAAAGCCTCTCATCGCCTCTCTGCCTTCCTGCAGAACCACATCTGCCAGTCAGATACAAGGCAGTCCACCTCTCCCAAAAGCTGTCCAGAAAACAAGCTGAGAAAACTAAGTATAGTGAAATGTCCCAAGGTCCTGCAAAAGCATTCTGTGTTCAAAACATTTACAAGTTTCCATCCCCTTCCCCAAATCCCTTTGAGCAAAATTAAAGTCTAATTCCTTTACTGGTTACCATTTAGTCTCTCATCCAGTTTTCTGGATGGGATGTCTTATCTTTCTTAAATTAGTACATTAATATATGCAAAGTGTCTGGTCCCAGGGAGCTGGTACATAATTTTAAAAACACTACATGGCTTTCTTCTTGTGGCCACTTTGAAGTAGACAGGTCTGACAGTTTTTGTTGTTTTCAGTTTTGTTGTTATTTTTTTACATTCAAAGATGGGGGAAAAACTGAAGTCCAAAGAAGGAAAAGCCATCTCTGATGCCACCCACACTGTTGAACTCTGAACTCCTGCCTTCAATATCAAAGGGCCTCAAAGCCAGGCATCCCTGACTTAGAATGGGGAGGGGGTGTCTCTCTGATTTAGACTGCAAGCAGGAAACAGCACCCCCTACCTCAGCCCCTCTCCGAGGACAAATGTGAAGAACAGCAATGCCTTGGGGTGACAAAGGCGGGCAAAAGCAGTGCTCTGAGGGAGGAGCTAACAGAATAGGAGTTCCAGGCAAGCAGGCAGGCAGACAAGGCAGAGTCCTCTTCCTCTCTTCTTTCTCCCTCCAGTGTCTCCCTCAGTTTTTCCAGCCTGGCAACAGTGAGAGAACAGCATTGTGGAATGTTATTCAGAAGCTGTGGTCCAGTGGAGCAGGGCGGGTATGAGGGAGAAGTCTGGAAAGACTTATGTCAGTGTTTAATCTGGACTGGAAACTGCCGGCCAGGGCCTCCACGCAGAAACCCGGTCCTATTCATGGGCTTGGGGAAAACAGCAGGGGGCCCCCAGGGCCTGGTGTGTGGCTCATCTATATACTCTGTGTGTCTAGCTCTCCACAAGTCTACCCCATATTTATGTACCCGCAGCTAGGATCCGGGACTTCAGCAGACAGTTTGCGGGCTCCAGGCTGGGAGAGAATCTATCGCTGAGCCTTTAGCTCAGCCCAGTAGAGTTGGATGTGACACTGAAGCTAGGCCACTTGTCTTCTCCCTACCCCACTCCCTAAAGTACAGATGATAAAGACCCAGCCCCTGAATCTGCCCACTTGATCTGTCCCCTGGGACCAGAAAAGAAACATCCCAGATCTCCTGTCCCTCCATGAAGGCTATTTCTCACTGTCCTCCACTCTTCCCAGGGTCTAGTTCTCCTTTGGACTTCTAGATTTTGTGTCTTATGTCTTCAGACAAGTTAATTTGCTGAAACCTCATCCCATCGTATCTTGGTAGGTTCTAAACAGAGACTGAAAACAGCTGAGAATGTAGACCAGGGATGGTGGCACACCTGTAATCCCAGCACTCATGAAGCAGATCCAGGAGAATCATGATCCTGAGGCCAACTTGGGCCACATAGGCAGACCCCCCCCAAAAAAATTCATCAGTAATACTAATTTTTTTTTCTTTTATTATTCATATGTGCATACAAGGCTTGGTTCACAGTAATACTAATTTTAAAACACTTTCCTCCTCAGCCTGCCTATGCCCTCTGTGCCCTCTTCATTTCCATACCCATAGTCTCTCCCAAAGAGGGCCTCCCACAGTTGCCCCTAGGAAGAGAGTTCCCATACCTGCCAGCTCCAGGGACACAGAAGAACGTCTTTAGTGGAACAAAAAACAACCTCAGCTCCACCTCTGCAGCTAAGTTATAACTGCCAGGGATGTGCACAGTCTATATTCCAGAACCAAGGGCAACTTCATTCAAGGGCATGCTTGACCGGACCTCACCCCCCACGTGGAAAGGACCCCTCAGAGACTCCTGAGCCTTCAGTGGGGACTTTGTAGTCCCTGTTGGAGTTTCAACTGAGATCTTGGTTTTTTCCTTTCAATTCAGTGACTTGGTAGACTGGGGACAGAGATAGCTGATTTAACCAACAGAACAACTAGATTGAAAACTGTGGGAGGATTTATGTCAAAACAAAGTAGCACTATTGTATCTATTATGTGGTTTGGGGGACTTCTGAGATTAAAGAAAGAGGTAGCTATAGTGGTACTGAATGCAGGACGCTGATGGGGTTATTTATTTGACCTTTGAGTTTCCAGCCTGCTTTAACAGCAGAGCCGCGCTCACCAGTCTGGCGGTACTGGGAGTGGAGACGTGCACCCTCCTCAGGCTCTAGCACGCAGACACTTGCCTCTCAGCCCAGGGTTTCTGCCTTCAATTTCCTGCCACTTTCTCTATCTGCAAAGTGGCCGGAGACAGTCAAGATTTAAGCCCCTCCATTTCCCCAGTCTTCCTTCTCAGAGCAATTTACCCGAGCCCTCCCTCTGCAAAAGCAATCAAGCACTTCAAAGCGGCTGCAGTTGGTCTCTGATTACCCTCTGCTTCCCCCTGCTGCCCACAAACTGGAACAAACCAAGTGCTGGCGGGAAGGGCGCTCAGGACATGCAAGGGCCTCAGAACAAAGCACAGGTCGGAGTGGGGAGGAGAGGTGGTTGAGCTGCAGACGCAAGCACAGCCTTCCTAGGTCCCTAGTTCTGTCCCCAACGGTGCCAATCCGTGTGGCTCCAATCCTGGGAAACATCTTACCGCCACCTCCCCAGCTTCCACCCCTTGCGTCTGAAGTCTTCAGCTCCGAAGAGGCCATGGAACCGCACTGTGCATCTGGTCCCTGATCTGAGCTCTCCCCTCCCGCCCGCCCCTCTTGTTTCCCCCAGAGTTTTCCATCAGCAGCTTCTGCACCGTGGTGGACGTCATGAACTTCTCCAAGCTGCAGGTGCTGCGCCTGGACGGCAACGAGATCCAGCGCAGCGCCATGCCGGTGGACGCGCCCCTGTGCCTGCGCCTCGCCAGCCTCATCGAGATTTGAGCGGCCCGCGCACTGCGCAGCAGCCACCGGGCGCACAGCCCCACCGCCCCGCTGCATCGGCTGGATGGCTTGGTTTGGCTTTTGCTGGAAGGTCTGGGACAACCATGTGACAGAAGTCCACGGGCTCCTCTTTAGTCTCTTCCCCATAGGCAGGGTTAGATGGGATCAGGGGCGGGGCAGGTTTCTGCTGAGGACATAGACCGAAGCTCTCTGTTCTCTGGGGACAGAAGTGGTGGCAGAGGGAGTAATCCCCAGAAGTCCCAGCCCCAGCAATCTCACTGGTCTTGAGTTCTCCCGGATGGCCTGATGTTTGGGTAAACGCGCATAACCACACTTTTCAAGCAATCTCTGACTCTTAGTTACAGCTCTCCGCATGGGCGCAGCTGCATATTCAGCTACTCTGGGCTCCTCAAAATATACCTCTTGCCCAGCCACCCACTCCTCTAAACCCACCTCATCCACTCCGCCCTGCTTCACCCAAGCCTCTTCTGTGTGTTAGGCAATCAGGAGACTCGTTGGCACGTGGGCACCTGCCCAGTGGCCTGCGAAGAGAACCTGCACTTTTGTCTGAGGTTGAAAGAACACTGAAAGTCATCTCTACCCCCCCCTAAACTCACCTGTTGAAAGCCACCAGATTGGAAGTCACCAGCATGGTGACAATATTCATGGCCTGATGCCAAAGAAGACCACAACCTCAGGTTTAGATAAATGTATGGGGCTATATTTTAGGGGCTGGACAGCTTTTTAAAGGTAGATCAGATTTCGCAGTAGGAGAGGCTAGACTTTGGTCATCAGACTCCATAACACACCTCAAACTGGTTGAACAGAAGGTATAGCCCTGGTAATGTCTCTTGCCTGTCAAGCTCACATCCCAACTTGGTCATCTAGCCTGATAGGGGGAGCCCACATGGTTTTCAAGGCATGAGAAAAATAGTTTGATCCAAGTAGGAAGGTTTAATAAACCAACGGGAGAGGCAGACTCCTCTGCCCTGGATTTGCCTGCTAGCCCAAATGAGAGCAATGTGGTTAATCTGTATTAACTGATTTATCCCAAGCAGAGTTAAAGTACCAGCTCTGCTAGGAGTGCCCAGACCAGGCAGCCAAATCTCACCTTTGCTGGGCATGAATCCCTCTGCTTTTGTATCTCTAAGCTATGTCCTCATTCCTGAAGATGCCTTTGCTTTGTAGCTTGGCTGGGGAACAATTAATTCTTATTTCTGAAAGGGAATAATGCCTGGGCCTAACCCACCTGCTCTTCTGGGTACTGATGGGATGGAGCCATCTGGGTAGTCAGGGGCAAGGACCCACTGTGGAGAGTTAGCCCAAGTTGGCCCCACCAAAGGTCATTACTCCCTGATTCTGTGTCTGCTTGGGAGCAACTTCCCTGAAAAGGGAAGGGAGAATCCTTGGACTATGTTCTTGACTCCGGTCCCTGAAATCCACAAAAGCCAAACCAGCTAATTTCAACAAAGGAGCTCCAATGTGCAGGGTAAGCCTGCCCCTGCCCCCAGGGCTCTTCAGAAAGCATCTGCATGTGGACGCCGTCATGCCTCTTATTATAACGGATCTTCATTATGGGGAAAGCATGAGTGGTGGTCAGCCTGACCAATAAAGTTATTTCATGAGCACATGTGCAAGGACGGAGTCATTGACAGCCAATATGGGCTTACCTTAGGGTGACCTAGTGAAGTCACTTAGGCCTGGATCTGAATAAGCTCTTTCTTTTCTATTCCTTTTGGGCAGATGTAGCTAAGAGATTTTCAATAATAATAATAATAATAATAATAATAATAATAATAAGTAGCCCATATAAAAGCTCAAGTTATCAAACTTTGTGTTCTAGAAGTTCTTTTTAAGTCTAATTTCAATCCTATTATCTACGTTTTTCCTTCCATTTGGCTCCCAAGAGATAAACATTTGATTTTGTTTTTTGTTTTTTGGTCATTCTAACTTTTTTTCTCCTTCCACCATCCTCTCCTGTCAACCCAATAACTCTGCGCCTAGCTGGTCCTCAGTATTGTTGTCTTGGCTGCTGCTGCCCTCCACTGGCAACTGCACAGAACTGAGAGCAGCCAAGTCCAGTTGGTCGTGGAAGAGGAAGATAAGCAGCTAAGCCACCCATGGGTTCTTTCATCCATCCTCCCAATGCCTGTTTCTTGAAAGCCTTCAGGTACCAGGTGTTGTGCCATAGCAAATGTCATGTAAGTATGAAGGACAGACTACACTTGCATTTTCAGGACAATCCACTGTCTTCTGACTAATCTGCACCAAATTCAGTGCCAAGTATATTGTGAATGTCACAACTCCATCTTAAGCCAAAGTCAACTAATTTGACTATAATTCTCTGGAGCATAAGTTAGGCAGGAATGTGAATGTGTGAAATGATCAGAAGGAAGCCATAACAATGACCACTAGCTTTTCTCAAGAACGGCAAGCTAAGCTTTCTGCCTTGGAGCTCTGGCACAGAGAGGTGCCATGTGAGGGAGAAGGAAGAAGGACACATTGGGAGGAGACTATTTGAGCAATAAGGAGGAGCCCTACAGTTTTGTTTCTTAGCAGCTCCTGTGACCATACCAACCAAGACAGAGCAGGGAGAAGAGTCAGAGCCAGCCCAGCCCTGCTGGATGGAGGCTTCCCTCGTTTGGTGTTTTTGTTTGTTTGTTTGTTTTTGTTTTGGGCAGCACTGGGGCCACCAAACTCAGGGCCTCATGCTTGCTAAGCAGGTGCTTTTACCACTTGAGTCACTCCACCAGCCCTTTTTTTGTGATGGTTTTCTTTTGAGATAGGGTCTCAAGAACTATTTGCCCTATTTGAACTGTGATCCTTCTGATCTCTGCCTCCTGAGTAGCTGGGATTATAGGTGTGAGCCACTGGCTCCTGACGTCCTCATTTCTAAATCCAGTGCTTCACTATAGAGAAGCAAAAAGGGACTATGGCTCAGGCTCAGCTGCCCCTTTCTTTACACTACCAGTTGATGAGGACTTAGTATGTGCTAAAGGTTTTACTTCTGTTACATCACTTACAGATGAGAATCATCTTAAGCCATAGCTACTTCTATCCTCACTATTTTATACATGAGGAAACTGAGGCACAAGAGGCTGAGACCACCCAGTTAGGGAGCATGAAAGAAGGCTTTGATTGCAAGCCACCTGTCTCCCCAGCCTGTCAGTATTGCCCATGGTTTTCTACTGTGCTCCCGGAAGATCCTGGTGTTCTGGGTTAGTAGTGTGTGCAGGTTGTTGAAGGTAGATGTTGCAAGTGGACAGAGACCATCTTACTTTTTTGCAGGGTGGGCCTAGATCCATTCTGCTAGCATTTTTAATTGCTTTATGGGTTTTGCAATTAAAATCCACTCAGTAAGGATCTACTGAGTGCCACAAGTCAGGCACTGGGAATACAGCAGAGGACAAACGCACACAGCCCCTGCCCTCCAGGGGTTCCAGTCTAGCATAGTGTCAGACACTGAACAACAAACCCCATGGTGAGAATGGTGTGTTAAAAACAAAGGGCTGGGAAGGTGATGAGCACAGGTCTGCACAAGGATTATCAAGAGCCTGCCCAAGATGCTGTGAGCCATGGAGGAGGCACAGTAATCTAGACAAGGAGAGAGGAGGAGCCACAGGGCAGGGATAACAGACTGTACAGAACCGAATGCCAAAGGAAGCAGAGACACTTGGGCAAAGAAAATGGCTAGGCTACAGAGAACGAGGGTGTTTCAAGTTGAGACTAAAGAAGCAGCCAGGGGTCAAACCACCTACTGCCTTTATTCTGTTATTTCAGAACCCAGTACAGAGAAACTTTACCCCCATCCCAACCCCACATCCAATGGCCTGGACTATACAGGGTCTCACAGTTCTGCATTTTGGCCACCAGGGGGCAGCATCTCATCTTGCGCCATCAGAGCCTTTCCAGAACCCTTTAAAGCTTCCATCCTAGTCTGCTGCTAGCAGCCTCACTGGACACCCGCCAAAAGACAGGGCACCAGGAGGCCTGGTAAGCCAAGGGCTCTTCCCACCTTCATGTGCTGTGGATCACTGGGGTTATGCAGATGAGGCCTGTGAACTTTTCTCAGAATCTTGGATGTTTGGTTTGGTTTGGTTTGGTTTGGGTTTGTGTTAGGAGACAATCTTATGTTGCCCAGGCTGGCCTCAAACTCTCTATCCTCATTACCCCTCCCTTCCAAGTGCTGGGATTATAAATAGTCCACCCAGTCCCAGGCTTAGGGTGTTTTTGTTTTTGTTTTGTTTTTTAAATTTTATTATACATACATTTGACAAACAGAACCCCTGTCACACCACCCACAATTCCACAGCCAAATATGTCAGTTCTATGTATTGAATTGAATGTCAATGTAAACATTCTTCAGCTGTTTACACCATCTTCCCCCAAACAAAGTATAATCCAAGACATCTTGACAAGAAACCTTTTTTTTAAATTTTGTTTGGTGGGACTGGGTTTGAACTTAGGGCTTCACACTTGCAAAGCAGATATTCTACCCCTTGAGCCACACCTTCAGTCGATTTTGTTCTGGTTATTTTGGAGATGGGGGGTGGTCTCATGATACATTTGCCAGGGCTGGCCTCGAACTAAGATCCTCCTGATCTCAGCTTCTCAAGTAGCTAGGATGACAGGCATGAGCCACAGGCATCTGGCTCTTGACAAGAAATCTTTACAGCCAATAACATATTTTTAAGTTGATTTCATCCATTATATTTTCTTTAAATACTGAGAAGAATTATAAAGTCAACAGGACATGGAGACTTGGTTAGGCAGCATCCTGTTGTAGGAAACAAAATACTAACCAAGAGTGCTTTCTCCTCACCTCTTCCCCAACCTCCAACTGAAATTTCTCAACAGCTGCTTCCAGGAAGCTCACCGGCAAAGCAAGCTGGGTGGGCAACGACCCCTCCACTTGCTTTTAAAGGCATAAAATAAAATGCATAGGATTTCAAAGAAAACAATTATGTTGAAATACAGCTATCAAAACATAAAATATATGAAACTTTGGTACAGTAATATATGTATATGTTTCTTTATTCATGCAACAAGTAGCAAGATCTAGCCACAAGTCTATTAACTACAGTCATTTCAGAGTACTGATGAACGTAAGT